AATATAAATCACAAAACATTAGTTTTTAAATTTTCATTTATCAGACATGATATATACAAGAAAAACATTCACAGAAACATGTAAACTCCTTTAAATTACTTCATTAAAACCAAAGGTGAACCTTATTCAAAACGAAGTAAAATCGGGAACAAAAATAAAAATCAACATAAAAATATCAATACTTACACATCAAAGTGGTCAGTTAGCAAAACAAAGCTAATATGTGGTCACACAGACCAAGGGAGCACTACTCAAATGCTATTTCACTTCATCTTTCTCTGCCTCTTGTCCCTCAAGCTTCCATCCTTTCACACTGGGGTACCAGTGCAGGAGGCTCCTAGACGTGGCTAACCGCGCAGCAGCTCCCAAGGCAGCAGTGGCTGTACTTCGAGGAATGTAGAGCTTCTGAGAAATCTGGTGCTGGGGGAACAAAATGAAAGAGAGCTGGTCTATGGCTCCTTGACTCTTGTCCTTGAACACCGTGACAGCATGGCTACTAGAAAACTCTTCATTCTTTACACTCTCTGGAGAGCTTTCCACTAAAAAAGAGAAAAAACAAAAGAGTCCTTTCAAGAGGTTCTCAAATTCACGTCCTACTTCTCCCATTCTAGTTTTTTTTACAACATGTGTTACAACCTTTTCTGTGTCACGATAATTATCAGTCAGAGAGGATGATACCCAGAAACCAGCTAGTGAACAGAAAGAAAATGAACAAGGGGAATCCTGCATTAGTATAAAATAAATTCTTACCAGGATGAGGGCCAAAAGAGAAGGAAAACACATGTACAAGGAAGGGAAGATTTCTTTTTAGGAATGTCATAAAAATAAACTGGACAAAGTTCAAATCCCAGAGATGAACCCATAAGCTCCCCTTCCAGCACTAAGCAAAATGGTACCACACAGGCATTCTCTACTGTCAAAGTGCTTCTGATTTCAAGTCTATGCCAGTGACAGAACAAAGCCATAAAAGACCACCTACTAAGAAGTACTACTGAAAAGGCACTCTCAAGCATTAATGCCTATATTCTGCATTGGTTTTAAGTAAGAAGAAATATGCATTTATGCAAAATGAAAATCCTGAACACCAATGCCCAAGAGCTCCTAATAACCAAGGGAAGGGATGCTAGACAGTTTTAAATGAATATTCTAGACCAAGGCTTCATAAATGTTTTCCACTGCAGACTCCTTTTTGTCTGAGAATTTTTTACATGATTCCAGGTATATAGGTACATAAATAAAATGTTTGCTGATAATAAATCATAAATTTAAAACAATTTTAGTATACATGTAATTTT